CAGGTTGGCATTAACCTTGGTCTAGCCTTTAGACCTGGCCCTAGGCCTATTGAATTTTGTATTCAATCGTTGTGTTGCCTAAGAAGCTATCTCGGAGATGTATAGCTTCATCTAACACTCCGTTATTGCATCAGACTGAACGATTCTCCAGAAACTGTCTTCGCTGAATCCATGGTCTGACTTTGAGCTGCCGTGGGTCAGCGACCTAACAAAGTACATTTAAATTATGGAAACTAAACGATTTGCTATTCAGTTTTCTACAGCTAAGCAGAGCTTTCCGTGGCCACGCCACGGCGTTCAAAAGCCATTCCAGGCAAATTTTTGGGAGTCAAATAGACCCCACCCGAGAGCGTGTTGAAGGTTTTGAATGCTTTTCCTGCAGCAAGCACGACGGCGTACGTATGTACAAAAATACACACGGAAAGGCAATTTTGAAAACCTGCACAGCTCTCGGAATTGTTTCTAGCATGACATCCGGCTGTACGTGTTGGTAGAGCAAAAACATTTCAATCAGGCTAACACATTTCATTAAGCCAAGTGGCTCTGTTGTTGTTTGGTGATTGGGGTTTTAGGGTGCACCGACTACTGAGGTAATTTGGCGCCCTAGGTCAAGTGGTTCGAAGGCAAGCGTGGTAAGTCTTATGGATGGCCACGCCAACAATTTGTCGCTCATCTATCACCGGCATTTTTTCGCTCAGTTGCCTTCTTCGGAACCAGCTCTCCATCACAGCTCGAGCCAGGCGCGCAGCCAGCGCCTTCCGTCGGGGTGGGGGAGGGTCAGAGGGGGGGGGGGCACATCGGCCTTCCAGAGCGCTCTTGTCAAGTGGGTCCTACTGCTACATGGAGCCCCACCCACATGATGCCTGTTGAAAATGCAATTTCTTCCAGATTTGACAGTTTTACTTTAGGCATTGGTGATTGGGAGACCCCAAATAGTGGGACAGCAACGAAGACATCCGAAGCACTTCACAGATGCTTCGGATGCATGATAAGCCACGAAAAAGTATCTTTTTCAATGTTTTTGTTTTTTAAACGAGAGGCCATAGATTGGCTACTAATAATGTCTCAGAAATGTTGCAAGGTGCTAAGCTGCGGTGTATAAGCAGCACGACATTTCGAAACCTGAGCTTTTGGATTGAGAACAGCAGGGGTGTGCTGGGGAGACACAGCCAAGCAGGCCGTACGACATGGATAGCCTTGTTATCGCACATCGCGAAACACTAGGTCAAAGAGAGTAACGCAATCCGGCTTAGATCTATCGGAGGCGCATTTGTGTGCATATTGGTTGTGTATTATGTGCTGGTTGTGCATATTGCTGGTGTGTTTGTTTTCAGATCACATTCATCTCCTCATGTATTAATTCGCACACTTGTGACCTCTCTCCTAGACAAGCTTTTACATGGCATCACCACTACCACATATATAAGACAATTGTAACCATGCCTGTACATGTGCACGCAAATGAATGGTGCACCCGCGTTTTTTTTAGTCCATAGCATCATAGCATTCAGTCTATAGCAGTATAGAAGAGACCTTCAAGGGTAAACTTTATCTAAGCCCATCCACCCTCTACACATGGGGCAGTGCTCACAGCACCCGCTACCTATTTTTTGTCAGTTGTGCCCATCTGTCACCGACCCCTTTGCCTTTCTCCAGCACCTACGTTCCAAATTATGGAAGAGATTCCGGAAATTGGTGCAGTCAAATTACACTTTTGCATCTCTTATTGCAAAAACAGCGGGAATGGAACTAACTATGACTAAAAAAGGAATCAGGAGCATCGTGCTGTACTTCGCAGGGTACCTACCACACATTTCGTACACGTCTTACCCATGCCCGAACCCATGGCCGTTATTTTTCCAAAATTCGTACCTAGCCCAGCCCGCTATCCATCGTATGTGGGTACCAATCGATGCGTCAGTGAAGTCCTCTGCAGCGCAGCGTCCTGGTCACAGAGCAGTCCACGCCTGTATTGTACGGTAGTCGAAATGTCTCTCATCGGTTCGATGTGCGGAAGACTAGGGAAGAAGGCCTTAACTATTGTGCCGTCCTTGGTGGCGGCACGGGAGGTGTCCAATGCAGTGTGTCTGGAAATCGGTTTTTTAAAGCCTGTGTGCTGTGAAACCGGTCCTGAAGGCGATGAATTTTAATGGGGCCCTCATCTGGGTTGTTTCCTCGAAATTCGACTACCCAAGTTACTCCCCGACACAAAGGTATGGTCGCAATTGTTTTTACCGATGGAATTTGTAGTTCGGAGGTTTACTGCCTTTTCCCGCGCTGTTGATTACTGTGGGACTTCACGCCGGCAATGGAGGTCGCAGAAATCATGGTACTAAACAGCAATTTGGAGGCGTACTTTACTAGCAGACTTACCAGTTTTCTGATCAAGACAAATGGACCCAAGCGTTTCTTGACCACATGACTGACCTTCGGCGCCGAAATAAAGATGTTGTCCGGGTGAATGCTCTGACTGTGGTTGAAGTAGCGAGGATGGCCTCTGGAGAATGCGGGCTTCCCCTCGAACGCGACTGACAACTTTTTGTAAACTGAGGAGTGAGAGGGGATCTGATTATACCAAGTCATTACGAGCATTGTGAGAGATACACACGGAAAACATCTCATGGCCATGCCCGGTCGCAATCTTTATCATACCAAAGCAGCCGGGTCAGACCAGGTGTAGATACATGGAAGATGTGAGTATTCGGGTCCTCTCCAACAGCTCAGGTTGTTGGTTAGGAGGGTGAGCGTAGGACCCAGAGGATGTTGCTCAAAACAAGAGGGAAAGGTTATTCAGGAGCTCGAGCGCCGGCAAACGTTTTGCGCTTCTTGAGTGCTACATGCAAACCTTATGCTTTTATTATTGGGGCTGAATGGTGTTTCCAAGGCATGGAACATACCGCACAGGCCAACTTATGCATTTTTTAAAGCACGTTTTTTCTCTTTTTTAAGGGCAAGCAAATTTGCTTTCTGTACAAACCTTCCAGCTTGATTACGGACCCTTCGTTTTTGGCCCGTGAACTATGCCAATCAGACATGCATAAACGAATCATCGTCATTTGGGCGTCGCGGCATCGGCGGAGCTTGTCGTAATTCATGGTGTTGTCTTGTGCTGTTTTTTTATAGTAAAATACTCTAAAAAGGGTCCTGTGCACTATGGCGTGTCCAAAAACAGTTTAATCAACAAATAACAGCCAAAAGTGGCTGCTGGTGCATGGCGCTCACAAATACCGCTTTTTAACGAGGCTACAACGAAACCATTTCTCCTCATAAACCAAGCGCCTTCCTCGATCCGCTCCACCAAAAATCACACCAATGAAGGACAGAGGGACCGGTTTTTGAGCAGTAAAGCCTTTGTGCTGTTTAATCATGTTTGGTGAATTGGATGTCTTTGTCCTCACACAGGGGAGCGCTTGGTGCAGAGAGTGAATGTGTGGTTGGGCTCACCACCCAAGTTGTATTGTACCATTTCGTTAGATACTTTTCCGAGCATGTCTAACAGGAAGGGGTTGTGCAGCTGGCTTGTCAGAGTCGTGCACTAGCCGTACCCGTACGATGCGGCGCGGCTGCTACTGCAAGGCTGGCCCATTTGGAGCAGCCACGAGATGAACTTACCGCGTCGATCAGGCGAAACAACAGACCCTTTCTGAGACTCTATTATGCAGTACAACTGGATGATGAACCCGGCTTCTCTTCCGCACCGTAACTGAATGATAAGAAACATTGTATATTTGCATGTGTTCAAATGTCATGACAAAACTGCGATTGTATTGTTTATTTCGCTAACTTCTACTTACTAACTATAACTTCTTCTCTAACTTCACCCTCTTTTTGACCAGTAAGTAATCAGGTAAAAACCTGTACCTCGAACTCGAAAAAATCTATATAAAAAAGGAGAAAAAGAAAGGAGATGGTGCATAGCATTTTCATCATCAATTGTGCTCTATACCTGATATATGGTTGTTATTTACTCCAGCTAATAAGATTTCCAACAACTCGTTTAGCATGTCATGAACTAAGGTGGCAATGCCTTCTCGCTTTGTGCTCACAGCAACGTACTCGGGGCTCAGTATCGCTCTCGCGAGCATCCAGTAAAGCGACATAAAAGTTTTGGTTACTTGCAGTGACTTTCTACGTCATCAAGCCAGTCATGTACTGAGCGGCTGAGCCTTGCAGGAGATGGTACAAAGTGTTGCAAGTATTGACAGCTTGCGGGGTGAGGAAAGGGTGGAGAGTGTCAGTGAACACGATGCCTTATGTGGGTTTGGTGGACTAGCTGAACGCCAGTGAATGTAGGGGCCCTAGCAACAGATGGCCACACATAAACAATAACCAATCAAAACCACAGTCAGTGTGTCAAAAGACAAGGGACGGCGCTGAAAAGGAGACAGGGAGCAATCAAAAACTTATTTACGCTAGCTCGGCGCTCACCAACTTTGTTCACACAGTCCCAGACTATCAGTTTAAAACCCAGTCGGCTGCGGTGGAGTAGCCGCGGTGCACAGTGCTGGCACGTTTCATCGGTCCTTAATAGCGTGACTGATGACGGGAAGCTCGCGTGAGGCCGAGCGGCACCTCAAACGGAGCTGTTCGCCGCCGAGCGCCGTTCTGTCCGGTCCTGCGGCTTCTCGTCGTGCGCCGTCCTATCAGCTGCGCCGACCTCAGGTGCTTCTCATCCCCGGCCGGACCCCGCCTACCCCGGCGGCTGGGACGATCCTCCGAGTCCTGGCAGGCCGCCGCCCTCGGCGCAGCCCGCCTGCTCAGCTCACCGCAGCCGACCCGTCGGCGGCGGCGCCGCTCGGAGGCTGCCCCGCCGCGAGAGAGGCGGCCCGCCGAGAGAAATGGGGCGGAACAAGCGTGCGGCGCCGGCCGGCCCCGTTGCCGGCGAAGGCAGCCGGCCGCGGCCGCCGCCAGTGCCCGTCCCGCCGCCGCGCCGCGCGCACAACCCGCTCAAGGGTCCCGCGCCGCCGCCGCCCGCGCCCGTGATCGCCGCGCCCCCCGCCATGCCGGCCTCCGTGACGCAGAAGCCCGCCGGCGGCGTGGCCAAGCCGCCGGCGCCGGGCCGCTCCTACTTTTTCGGCGAGTTCGAGCACCACGTGTCGACGGCGGCGCTGTCCACGGATGGCGGCTCGCAGGCCAGCGACGGCAGCTCGACCGACGTCGGAGTCTGCCTGGACGACTCGGCCAGCGACATCAGCCAGGACTCGCTGGTCACCTCCGACTCGGCCGTCAGCTCGCCGGCGCGGCGCCGCAGTCTGCGCAGCCACGAGCGCAGCCCCGAGCGCAGCCCGTCGCCGGCGCCGGCCGAGCCGCCGCGGCGCCGTGCCCCGCCGGGCGCGGCGCCGCCGCGGTGCGGCACGGCGTCGCTGCGGCAGCGCGCGCCCTCCGAGCCGCGCGCCGACCCGCCGGACTCGGGCGAGCTCGCCCTGCGCCGCCGCGACGCGCCGCCGCCGTCCGATGCCGGCTTCCACTTCCATCTGAACGAGATGGACGGCGGAGAGCCGGCGGGAGACGAGGAGGAGGACAGCTTCGCCGGCCTGCGCGACTTCTTCGTGCCGCCTGACGCGACCATCCGCAGCGGCCGAGGCACCGTGCGCGGCGTCAAGAACCGCGTGCGCGCCGGCATCGCCACCTTCCTGCAGGAGAACACGCTGGCCAAGGTGAGGCACCGTGGGCGCTGGAGAGCGTGGCTTGCCCGGGCTGTGGGAGCCACGGGGTACGCGTGTCACCCGTGGCGTGGCCTGACGGTGGAAGGGCAGCATATTGTCGCAGCGTCGTCCAGCCATGGCATGGTGCTTCGGGGCGTGTCGCTATCATATATCCACGTGGTGATTAGTCAGCATGACGTGGGGCTCTGCAATGAAGTGCATTGTGTCAAGAGGTAGGATTACATTGGCTGCTGTCATGTACATACATACCCATTAATTGCACCAACCCTGTGACAATTACGGCTTAGGCTGCTACTTGGGCCAGGTACGGTCAAAGCCCTAACTTTTTTGGAGGGCCCTTTTTATCTTTTGATTGTGTAAGAATTAGATAGTACGGTGTCGGTACCTCAAGGCCCTTTTTGTTTTACAACCGAGCTCATGTGCGCCGCACATGTGAGAGTTTGGCATGCTTTGCATGTCATTGCTGTTGGCTGAATATTTAAGCACGACTCTGTTCCACACGGGCAACCGAGTCGTTGGGTACGACCTGGCCTCGTGACGATACATGTATTGCCTGTGTCGTTTGAGCATTAGTCCCCAAGTATCCTTGGCATAAGAAGGAAAACTGACGCGTTCAGCACCCTTGTTCCAACAACAACAGAAAGGAAAACCGATCATGTAGGCAAATTTTGCAGAAGCCGTCTTTGCCGGCCAAGATAGCCTCGTCGACTATAACTTATCGGGGATTTGAATTGCAACGGCACATCAGTTTTCGTACCCATGGCGCATGGGACGAACCAATCAGCTGTTAACCAGCTGTATCGCGTGTTCAGCTGGTATGTCCTGGGAGGATCGGTTCATGAGGCGCGAGGCTTGCTTTCCCTCACTAATCTGCAGATCCCTGCCAGCGCAGCTGTGAAAGCGAGCACACGGACGTCGTCATGTGCAGTTAATTTGCGGTTTCGCTCCCAAACGGCATGCTGCTTGCGAGTCCTGATCTGGAATCATACCGCGAGGCATCAGTATGCAGGTCATGAGCCGATCCAATGTCCGCCCCAGGCCGACGAACCCACCGGGCCGCGCCAGTAGCTGGAGCGGCTCGTTGTCAGTCGCGTTGCGACACTTTTCCCAGATTCGCGGACGAGATCTATCAGGATGTGGCATCTTGCTGCAAAGTAAGCTATCTGTGGAAATCTAGCTCAATATCAGCAAGAAAACCGGAAAGGTCCTTTGAAGTGCACTAACCGGTGATTGTCACAGTCGCGTCATGACATCCGACGCACAGTCTCATGCTTAATTAAGGCTGCCCCAGGCACAGTCTTCGGGGCAGAAGCGCCACGGCAGCCTGTAACAAGAATAAGGTTAGAAATGAACTTCGCAAAGATCATCAGAGCACTCATTCAAGTTTTACATCCAATATAAGATACCCGGCACTGTGCCGTGGGTTGCCCGAATCACAGACAGCCAGCTGCAGGGTTTCGACGACCCGTGCTGAGTACAGAGGAGATGGATGCATGAGCAGACGTTTCACGCATAAACTCCCAACCGCATGCACAAAGTCTAGCTAAAATGCTCCTTACTTTCCGGAAAAACAATATGCGGCTCTCCGAATGTGCTCGGTTGCATGTCCTGCCTGCGGTCGATACATCTTCGAATTAGTCCCACCGGTAGAAAGCAGTAAAAATGCGCCTCAACTAAACTACATTCATATAACACGTCTTTTATAACTGACAGGGTGTGCAAACAGGTCAAGAGCGCTATACAGATCAGCAGTCTGCGTGGGTCCCGGACAGTATGGACCAGTGGTCCTAGTTTAAGGTTCTTTTAGATCGACCAGCCCTGGAAACCCCATCATAACCAGCTGGAATACGAACAAGTCATTCATGCATGAGTGGGTAGAAAGGGAAATGCACAGGTAAACTACAGCGTGCATGTGTTATACCTATGTGTGTGTACATGTGTTATACCTTTGTGTTTACCTATACCCTATACCTACCTTTGCCCGAGGATATTTCATACAGGAGAAACGAAACGTGATAGTCGAGTCCGGTTTGGTCCACACCTAGCGGACGAAAGTTTGTGGAAAGCGCTCACACCGCTGTGGTGGACGTCCACACGAAAACTGAGCATAGCATAAGGGACTCAACTTAAAGAAGAAATTTTAGCAAAACCACAAGGCAACGCGGACCTCAATATGTGAGAACCTCTCTCTGCACATCCTTAAACCCCGTATGACGCTAAACGCATACGCGCGTTATAGGACGTGACTTTGGAAACGTTTGGCAAGACGTTGGCTTCCACATCGATATTCCCTAGCGAGCTACTTTGCAATCTCATATTCGGCGCCGGTCATCGAAACCTTTCGGCTTGGTCGTCTGTGTAATGAGTTGCACTCGATGCATGGTGCCATGGTTCATGCATCCAGTAGTAGGATGTTGGGGCTTGTACGATTGATTGCTGCAATTTTTATAGACAGTATCTGCGCAGGTTTGAAACATTGTCTGGCTGTTAGTTGCCTTGGTTTTTAATGCCCTCATTTCCTTAACCTTTTCCTCTGTGGCCATGCGCACTGCTGGAAAGGCCGAGTATTTTTTACAAAATAGGTCAGCAATTGCTCGATGCTTATCTTAAAACAGGCCTTTCAGGTATACTGGAGATATATTGCTTTTAGAGCATGAACTCAGGATTTCGGAACGTAGCTTACATCAGAACGCAACTGATACGAAAATGAAGTTATGTAGCCATAATGATAAAATCTGATGTAAGTAATATCATGCTATAGTAATATTCTGAAAGCATAATACGGCAAAATGAGAAACATTGGGTTATAATTACATCAACCGTGTAACATGGTGTAGTCGTTAAGCGCCATACCATATACACAGTACTATGTCATGACAAATGCGTCTGCCTTCAATCGTTCGCCGGCCAGTACGCCGGCCGCATCTCTGACCGGTACAGTCAGTGACCGGCCCCAGCCGTCCCCTGACTGTCACAACCGCAGGCCGTCCCAAGCCGTACCTCTGACTGCCACAGTTGGTGGCCGGCCCCAGCGCGCCTCCGTGACCGGCCGCGGCGCCGGCCTCAGTCCGTTACACCGCCGACCGACCGGCCGCGGCTGCCGGCCCTCCGACGGATCGCTGACCACATAAAGCACGCTGAGCGCCGCGGTCCGAACGGTGCCGGCCGGCCTTCGGAGGCCGCGGCGGCCGGCTGCCGGCCGCGCCCGGCCGCCGGGCGCCGTGCACCGGCCGATCGATGGCTCGGCGCTCACCTGGCCCGCATAATCAGGCGAGGACGAGGCGCATCCGGCGAACGGTCCGCTCATTAGGCGCCGATCGCACGGGAGTGAGCGAGCCGGGCGGCGGCCGGCGGGTGGCGCGCCGGAGGGCGGCCGCCCCACAGGCGGCCGGTCGCACGCGCGCCGAGAGTTACGCGAGGACCGACCGCGGTGGCGGCGACAAGGCTCGCCGGCCGCGGCACGCATGCCTCACGTGCTGCGAGTCGGCTGCCGGCTGCGTTTGGAAAGTGCGCCGGGCAGGGCGTCGAGTGCGGACAATACGCCGCACGATCGCCGACATCTGCGGCTAATTGTTTTACAACGGGTTCGGCCGGAACAGTTAGCCGCAGGCGCGCGGCGCTCGCAATCGGAGCGGAATCGCGCGCCGGCCCGCGCCGCCGCCGCGCGGGTCGCGCCGCAGCGATCCGTCTTGCTCCCGGCGCGCCGGAGCGGAGACGCGCCGCCGGCGTCGCCGCGTGGCCCGCCTGGCCCACTTCGTCCGGCGGCGACCGCGCTGCAGAACGGAGCCGAACGCGGCGCCGTGTTCCGGGCGACGCCGGAGCACGCGCCGCGTCCCCCGGCTCGTTAGCTCGGATCGGGGCCGGCGCGTGGCGCGGCGTGGCGCGGCGCGGCGTCACCCGCGGTCCGCTGCCCGCCGCCGGCCCTGCGCCCGGGTCACCATGGCAGGGTGGGATCTCGGAAAGCCGGCGGTGGGGAGCACGAGCGCACCCTCCCACCGGCCCCGCCCCCGGGTCACCATGGCTGGGCGGGATCTCGGAAAGCCGGCGGTGAGGAGCACGGGAGGCCAGTGCCGTCTCACCCGCGGCGCGTCCGGGTGGGCCTCGTCCGGCGAGAGGCGAGGTATAGTCACGCGCCCTATCTGCTCATATCTAGAGCCGGGCGATCTGCGTTAAAAGGTCAGATCCGTGGTGACCACGTCCCTGATATCCACGCCGCCCAGACCTCACAAAGCCTCTTGACGTTGCCCACGTGCAGGATGTAACGTACTGATTATGCAAAGGGCGACTGCATTAGGCGAACAACTTCTTGATAGATATTCAAACATGAGTGTGCAAGCCTGGTGATTCAGTGGTACTGTTACTGCCGATAACAAATATCAAGATGCTTTAAAACAACCTCGTGGTTAAGGGGAGCATGGGGTCATATCGTAGCCGAAACCGTTATGAAAGGGCACATTTTCTCCGCGTGTACGCGACGAAATGTTGATTTACCCTGATGACATCGCTGCGGCTTTGTCTAGTTCACGCGAAAAATCTGCCGCAAAAATCTGCTCCTGAGATAACATCAACGTCCACCGGTTTTCGTGCGCCATTGTTATTTTGTTTGCAGTCATTGTTAATCCCGTCTACATATTTTTGTATTATCATATTCGCGTTTTTAAAAAAATAAGATCAGAGTTATGACCTTAACTACAAGCGCAGTGCGAAATGAGAAGCGTCGTGACGTTATTGCCAGTCTGTCTCATAATCTGTAGTCGGGCCTCGTACGCTGTTTACACCTCAACCTCACATTCATCCTGCTTGATCGGGTCAGGCGGTATTGAATTCCGTCGAGTTCCGCTTAACAACCGAAAAGAAAGCAGTTCTAACGCTTAATATGCATTGCTCAATGCATAATGCCCGAAAACATCGACGCCGACACTATGTAAAAGGCGTCAAACTTTTCCTCTCACAAACTGAGACTAACACTTAATTAGTTCACTTTTCTGTGTGCTCGGATTCTTCTGATGTCGGATTCAGGGCGCCAACCGGGTCATGCACCTCTTCAAATAGTCAAAGTCGGCCAAAAAATCAAGTTGTGCACTAAATATCAACCCACGCATTGTCGCCTGGGTAGGTTGTTTTACAACACTCCTTTAAATAAAATAGAGGGATCTGCCGAGTTTTTAATCAGAGCGTGTTCTCACACTTCTCCTCCGCAAATTGTTTTTGGTGGCGTTCTGGATTCACCCTTGGGTACATCTCCATTTATTTTGGTTTTCAAAGCTTGCTTCCCTGTGATCGGTTCGCAAGGACCCTTCATGTGGAGCATCGTAGTGGCAGTCGTAGAAGTACTAGTGGTAAATAACACTATTAACAAAAGCCTTACGCGTGCTGTACGCCGACAGCTGAAATCGACTGATAACGTGCAGCAGACTTGCGAATATCCAGTCTCAATCCCACATTGTCTGACCGAGCCCAGATGAATGTCGCTGACTGAATCTAGATTATGACGAATGTTGTGCTGAGAAGTGAACGGCAGTTTCGACACCAAATGAGCGTGTGGTCCGATCATTTCATCGAAGGCGCCGTCTTAATGATCGCGTTGACGACACGCTCGTGCTAATGAGAAAAAACGATCTACTGCGCAACTCACTTTAGAAAAAAATCTGCTGAAACTGCTGCACAAAGCCGGATGATTGCCACACGTCGACAAAAACCAACAGACCTCGACCTTGAACTGGCCACGAACAAGGCGGCGGGGAGGAGGGGGAGGGGTAAGGGCGTGGCACCGCTAACGCGCCATGAAGGGCACCCCCGGTCTCTGAGGCCGGTCAAGGACCTCACGGTCACACTGCCGGCGGGCACGACTGGTCACCGCAGGCGACGCCACCCGGCCCCCGGCGAAACACCTGCGGCGAGCGGAGGGTCCCACGGCCGTCCTGCCCGCAGGTGGGGCTGGGTGGCGCTCGAGACACGCCTCCACTGTGACCTGGGCGCGGTCAGAGCGCCGCCGCGACCTGACCGCAGGGGCGGCACCCCGCTCGCCGTCGGTGACCGCGGTCCAAACTGGACCGGTGTGGCAACGCCTGACGGCGCGGGCGGCGCCCGCCGACTTCCAAGAAGGGAACCGGGGAGGAGGCGGTCCCGTACTCAGCGGGAGTTAATCTTATGCCGCGCACGAGCGGCGAGGAAACCCACAAGGTCGCGATTGGCGACGCCCGCTATCCGGTGAGCATGGTGACAGGTGTTTTTCCCGGCACGCGGTGAGAGGTCACCGCGTTTCAATGACGCCTGTCCGCCCCAGTTGCGGGTGACAGGCCGGGTTGGACACCCCAGCGGCGCCGTTGCCGCCATTGTTCTGCACCGTTCTCATGTCACCCCACGACCCGACCGGCGCCCGCTGGTGACGGGTCATGTCAGGTCATGACCCGGAGCACCCTGCACGTGCCGCGTCACACGTCACGTGCAGAGGTGTGAGAGCGGTTCTCCACTCTCTCCCCACTCCCTGGCTCAGTGGGGAGCTCAGCGTGAGCTCAGTTCCGCTGCGGGGCGCCTGGGGCAGTCGAGAGTTCTGGCGCTGTCTTGTGGGGAGTCTGGCAGAACTCGAGATGTTGTGGAGTTTTAGGTCATGTGGGGAAAAATGCGCTGTGCGCGATGAAGACTTGCGAAATCGTGGTCAGGAAGATGTTGTGACGGCTCACGGTCCAGGGTGTCGGATCTGCGGCGTGTGGAGCGTGTGATGTGTCTGAGCGGGAGGCCGAAGTACCGAGTCTCTGTTTAGTTCTGGGGTGTCCTCTGATAGTTTCGACATCTGCCATCGGTAGCCGGCAGACACGGCGCCTCTTTTACGTCCCGCCCAGTCCGTCCGCCAGAGAGCGTGGCGATCCCGCGCGCGACTGTAGAAGGATCATGAGTCTTTTGAAGTGGCTTGTAGTATGCGGGAGGGGGATAGTCTTAAACCGACGGATTGAAGTAATCGCCTTGGGGTCGAACAAAACTCTTAAAGCCTCTCAAAATTAGATCATAGCCGGATGCGGACTGTAGACCAGCTAGTTCGCATCAGCTCGAGGGGAAGCGTGCAACAGTTCTGATTAAGGCAGGTCACTCAGACATGGCATTCAGCTGTAAGGACTACAGGCACGACCACGATGCAGATATTGCCCACTGACTCCGTGATCAGGCGGTGTAATCTGCTTGTGGACGAGGTTTTCATCACGGTCAGGTTTTCACGCTTGGTCGGTATTTACTATTAGACGGAATGTCTTTACACTACTTTGACTTTCACCGTGACTAGAAACCGTAGACATGAGTTTTTTGTGGGGCTTGGCCATTACGGAAACCACACGGTACGTGTGATAACAGATTTCTTCCGAAGGTCAAATGCGTAAAATGAAACCTTGGAACATACAAAAACCCTGTCTGGACGAAACAGCGGTAACTTTTTCTCGACCAGTTCTCATCCATTCAGAGGAGTCGCGGTGACTATGTCTACCCGGCAGTCCATCAGCGCACACCTAAGTACCTCATCAACGACGACATCCAAGCGTATGTGACATTAGAACTCTCGAAAACATTCAAACGTTCAAAACCTCCCTCGTTTCCAATACTTCGCGGTGAACGGGGCCTCTCCACGACAGCCATCCCGGCGGGTCACGTGACCCGGCAGCCACTGACACGACCGCCGACGGTCACTCGTCCCACGGAGCCGGGCCGTTTTCTCCGCATGTCTGTCGGGAACGAGCGGCCGGCGCTGCGTCTCGCCGGCGAGCGGCGACTTTACGAGCGGGACGTGACGCCGCTGCGGGACGATCCTCGGCCGGGCCCGGTGAGGCTTGCCCCGGGGCGAGCCGACGGCAGCGCCCCACCACGTCCCCCGCTGGCTTCATGAGGCCATTGGGCTGATATGGCAATGCAACGGCAGATGGCTTGGCTATGCTGATCCGCCGCTCTCGGTGGTGAAATGGCGGATCTCGGCCAGACGCCCACTGGATGAAGTGTGCAGTGAAGTGCCGCTACATGCGGCGAAGCTGGCATGGTGCAAACTGATGTTGCAGAGCGAAACGCTCTTGTGAGGTCTCTGCATTTTGTTTCAGCTATCGTCTCATCTACTGCGATCATGCGACTCGCTGTTTTACATCTACGTCATCAAAGTGCCCCTCAGATTTGTTCCACAAACCCGAAGGCCTCATCTGTACGTTACAAATCGCACATAATTCCGGCTTTGTCTCTAACACCAGTGTTCCGTGCGCCGGCAGAGCTTCAAGGAGCGTGAGCGAGGCCGCCTGGTGGTCTACATCACCACCATGGGCATCGTGCGCAGCACCTACCAGAAGTGCCTGCGCGTGCGCCAGATCCTGCGCACGCAGATGGTGCAGTTCGAGGAGCGCGACCCATCTTCCTGAGGCGCGGCCAACCGAGCAGGGAGCTTGCGCCAGCGCCTGGGCTCGTTGACTGCGTCCAGCTGCCTCAGCTCTTCCCTCGAGGGACAGCTGCTGGGGGTGAGTGGCGGTTGCAGGGCCGGCAGCGCCCGGGCGTCTGCTCGTTGTGGGAGGGGTCCTCGGCTCTTCATGTGGCCGGTGGTTGTGGGTACGCGTCGCGTGCATGTACCCACCAGGAGGGCGTCTGAGCCAGGCAAAGCGCCGTGAGGAGGAGGTCAGCTGCGTCAGGCATATCAGCAGTGAAGCGTGCCATTCAGGTAAGCGTCAAGATATTAATTTGATGTGAAATTTGCTTTTATTTCCTTTCCATGAATGAACAGCAGTTTCCTCGTGTTAGTGATAGGAATAACGTAGTGCTTAAAGACATGAACACAAAATGGTGTTAATGGCCTGCGGAGGATTTTATAAGTAGCCTATGAACACTGGGGCTTCATCCTAGCAGTAAAGTGAAAGGCGGCTCATTTTCAGTCGCGTTCAATTGTCAATGCGCGTAACTTCTTGGAAGTCGGATGTCAGATGCAGAAGGAATTTGCACCAGCGCAGGTGTTCCTAGAGGACGAATGGCGCAACACGTGCACAGTTGCCACATGCACGCCGCCACGGCTCATTGCCCAGCCCCAAAGTGCCTCCGGGTCACTCAGCCTTGCCATTTTCCCCCATTAGCTCCGACGCCGCCGCACCCTAAGCGCCAGCCCCGTCACAAACATCGGCTCGGCGCTCTAAGCTTCACGCTTTTCGAAAACGACCGAAAACGGCCTCAATTTGGGAGCTCTCGCCGGCCGAAGCTCCGCAGGA